GAGAGAGAGAGAGAGAGAGAGAGAGAGAGGGGGGGTTCATTATTTTGATTGAAATGTAGAATATAACTTTTCTGCAAAACTTGATGCCTCAATCCTTGTTATGCAGTCTCACTGACTTAATCACGTTGCGTCATACCTGATAATTCTGAGTCATTAAGCTCATTTCATGCATTATACGACTTGCTTGTGTAAATATTTCTCAAGTTAGTTCCCTGAAAAATTCTGATGTCATGCAGCGGGAAAGGGATTTTTTGTAAAGTCGAAAAAACCCATTAAATCAACTCCAATCGCCATAATATTTCACACATATTTAGCTATTACTTAGTCTATTAAGTATTACCGTATACAGAATTTGAAATTTTTTTAAAGTCTGTGAGATATTGCCATTTGAAAATGGTCAGCAACAGGCACTAAAAAGTAGCTCGGAAGAGAGACAAAGACTTGTTCACATCTCCCACTTTGTTATATTCAATTGCTGGTCAAGCAAGCGACCTTTGCCCTTGTAAAGGTCTGTTTCTTATAAAGAAATGGCCAAGGGTAAAGGATAGAGTATAGTCTGTTCTCATTGGGTGTGTGTTTACATTATTTAGCAGTAGAAATTTCCATCCCGATACTGTCGGGTACAGGGCCCAGCGCAGAAGTGTGCAACGCGACAATCTCGGGTTCAGGGCTGAGTGAGTTAAAAGTTACCAAGATGGGTGTTAGGAGGTTCTAGTGCCTGGTTTTACTTAACTACGTATCTCTCTTTAAATTTTGATTGTCAGCTAGCATTTTCCCTCAGCCAAATTTAAGCGAAAGATTATTGTACCAATGACAGTGTCTTTTCGTGGATCAAGCTTAATTTTCATCTGAAAAAAAAAAAGGCTTGCTATTCATTAATAATTACAGCTACAAAGGATCAAAAGTAAACTGATTGAAACGGATAGCAAACTTTTATGAAAAAACAAACAATTCCTCTGTCAGGTGATTGTTGAAGAAGTTTATTAATTACGAAATCAAAATGGTGATGTGGCATAATTAAGGTTCAATCATGGATACAATAAAAAATACTTTAAGAGTACACTCCTTCGCAATGGCAATGATAAGAAAAAAGAAACACTCATCCCAGGAAGCAAAATTAATAGAAAGTAGGAGAAAACCAAAGACGTTACAGTTGAGAGCACAGCTGTCCTTTGGCTCTCAAAAAGTCCTTTGGAGTCTGTACTGATGGGCTCAAGAAGTCCAAAACAAACAGTTCTTAGCATTCAAGGAGAAACTTGAGTTTGGAGAAGACGGTGGAAGAGCATAAGAAGTATTATTATGACATGGATTCAGAATTATTGGCAATTATAACTGCATAAACTCAAATAATATAATGCAAAGAATGAGAGACTGATTGAGGGTTGAAATTTAGACCCCAAGATTTTAGTAAGAAGCAAAAGTCTTTTTTTCAGTCAAAAACAAAGAAAAGTAAAGTTATAGCTTTCTCAATGTCTAGTTGTGTTTATCATCAATATCTGGCAACATATGTGTACAACAAAGAAAAAGATAGCCTGAACAGACTGATCCGGGTGCAGTTCTATATCCCCTAAAAAACTCAGGGTTCTGGTATTGTGCGCCTAAGAAAAACACAAGACTCAGTGAGTCATGGTGTACTGGAATGTAAATCAGCAACAATTCAACAGGAACACTGTATCCTGACGTAACATATTGATGGCAACATCAAATACATGGCAAAAAGGTAAACATGATAGAAAAAGACATTAGAACGTGACTCAGTGTTGAAGGATCTGAATCATGATAACCTTAGGCTTAGGGTTACAAAAGTTTTGCAATGAAATGGCGTATAACAAAAATTAGGCAGCACAATCAATTTTTATAATTGTATATTAATTTATTCATTAGGTAACATAAAAAATAGTTGAAAAACCCTTGTTAAAACAGTAGTATCAGAGGTTAAAAATTAATAACAATTTGCATCATTAGCATCTGAGGTTAAATAATAATAAAAAGTGTATTTTCAAACAATATATTTCATTGTAAGATATGGTGCATTTTGAAAAAAAAGGACTTCAAAACAATTATTCTGGTCAACTGGGAAATACATAAATACAAAGAACCAGGCAATAAAATCCTCAAACTGCTTGAAAAGTTGATCACATACCCTCATAAGAAAGTAAGCATTGAAATATTTGGTTTATTTCAAACATCATTTTATACATGTGAGAAAGACGTTTTTCTAAGAGGAATTGGAAGGGAAAAGGACAGGAAAACCAGAAAGATGATCAGAAAAGGACTCAAGAAAAGCAAGCAGTGTCTTCAACAGACTTAGTAAAGCGATCTACAAAGTGAGAGGGAAATAAATGAGAAAATACATTTGCATTCACACACCAATTTACAAAGAGAAGGAAAAAAACCCAGAAGAACTTTTCTTTCTTTACCTCCCCTCCCTTAGCAAGTCATAGGTTTTGGAAGGACATTAAAAAATCGCAAAAAACGACTGCCCTTGCATAGAACTGCCCCCAAGGAATCCGGGATCAGCAACAACTGGAATACAAACAATAGGCGATGGAACAATATAAAACTATGAAGCATTACAGAATTTATGAACTCTGGACATTTCTGTTATCATGGTTATGGTTGGTAGAGTGGCCTGAAGTTGAGCATCTCACAGTCCATGCACCAGCAGTCCCGGTGAGGTGAGGTCAAGGCCACAACAATCACGTCCTTGTCTCGGAATGATCTGTCGAAATCCACTCTTTTCCCATGGGGATGCATTAGGGTAAAATGATCAAGGCCATGTCTTCTGATCTGTGGAAAAAAAATGAGTACCCAAGGTAATGAAGGAGCTGTGCAATGGTGAAGCAACAAATGTTGCCTTTTTCCCACCCAATTATGCCTTCATTCACTGACATCGAAGATCTACAGGTTGTCCCAGTTACACAGTAACATTTCCTTGAAACATATGACACCTCTCACTCATGATCTTCCCCTTTTTATTTTCAACTTTATTAATTGACTAATGCTCTTTTTCCATTTCTACAGGCCTTTTCCGTAAAAGACACTTTTACTATTTATTGCAGTAACATATTTTCAATTGACAAGAAACCTGTTTTTAAGAGTAGGATGATTTTTCCTATCTAAAAGAAAGAATAAACAGTGTCACAATTTTAGAGGCTAAAGTAGCAAACTGATTCCTTTTCATCAAACACCAAAAAGTGCTGGATTATGCATAGTGGCATCAAATGACTTTAGCTTACTGGCTGTCACTGTCGCACTGGACTATTGTGTCATAGGCCCTGTTTCAAAACCCTATGAACGTGCTCTTGAGTGTGGGTAGTTTGAGGAGTCTTCACAACTTTTCCATAAGCTAGGCCTTGACGGCCCTTTCGAAAGTGGACAATAAATTGCAAGCTCTATCATCCAAATAACCTCTGCCCTCTGAAAACGACCGTTAATCCATACTGTACCACAAATGAAGCTGTCTATAAACAGCTTTAAGCATTGTAATGGTATCTATAATTCCCTTGCAATTTCTGGGCAAAGAAGCACCACAAAAGGGAGATAACCATGGATCTAAGTTCAATCTGAGAGGTAAAAACTACACAAACAGTCTAGGAACTTTTCTATTTTTCAATGAATAAAATACTCTTCTATATATGAAAAGGCCACTGAAAGGTGGAGCCCTAAACCCAATGGTCAAAGAAAAGACGACTTTACAAAGAAACAAAAAAGGCAGAGAAAAATATATACAGAACACTGAGTGAAGAGGAGAGGGGCACTTGGTATGACATGCACAAAGATACACAAGCACACACATATGAAAATCTACAAACACACAAACATCCAGAACCAACTAATTATGACAAGCCTGTGCACATACACATATAAATTCCACCTATTAACTCATTCGCTACGCCGAGCCGTGGGGGGGCGGCGCGGCTAAAGTGCCGTCAGTACGCTAAGCCGCCTCCGGCGGCTAGACAACCGATCTTCAATTTTAGCTTAGATTCTATTCCAATCCACATATCCATGTTAAAATAAAGGTCATAATATAATGTTGACTTCCGGGTTAAGCATTTCCACTGAAAATCGGAAATTTAGATTCCGTTTCGAAACGCGATTTCGTAGTTTATTCGACTTTGTTTTATCGCAATGCCAAAATTTTAGCCTGGACACCAGTCTTGGTAATTTTACACAACAAAATCTATCATTATTTTATCCACTAAAGACATGTAGGACTCTTTTTTATAACATTGATACGATTGGACTCATATTGCCAATGCACTGTTATTGAGAGATCAATATTTTTGAGTGCTAGATCTCGGTCTAGATTTAAATTGTCAAAATATTTTTTTCTCCCCAAAATCACTACTTTTTGGTGAAATTACACTAAAAGTGCCCCTCAAGACAAGTATAGGTTTATTCCAAATGCAATTCTGAATAATTCCATATATAAGATACGAGTGGGTTTTTTTTCTGTTTGTGATCGTTTTTCAAGATTATAATTTTTTTTTTTTTCAATCGGATGTTATGATCCAAATGTACAAATATTATGGAATGTATGTAAATAACTGTCAACTTTTCAATATTTTCCAGTTCTATATTCATTTATGGTTATTTTGATGTATCATTTGACTAGGTGCAAAAGTATTTTTTGAGTTTCACCAAAGATTATAAATTTTTTATTTTCAAATTTTATCCGCATCCAATCAAAATTGTGTTGCATAAAAGCCTCTTACAGGGACCAAAGTTGAAAAATACATAAAAAACATTACAGATGTATTCTACAAACCATACTGAAAATATTGGTATATAATACGTTGATATTTATTTGAATTTGTGGCCCCAAAGACCTTTTAACTGCCCACTAGTCATCATTCATATTTTGCCCCCCAGAAAAAAATTCGTCCACAGGCCGAAAATAATACGAAGCGAATGAGTTAAGAAAAAAGCTGAACACATTTTATACATACTCGACGTCGCACTTCGTCAATGAAGTGTCTCCAAATAACAGGCAATTCGAGCACCCTGGCATCAAACATAAACTCTCTCTGACTATTGTAGAAATTTAGCTTATGTCCACCTGGAAAAAAAACAAACAAACAAAAATTAATAAAAATAGAATAAAATACAGAATCAGTTCATTGAACTTGAAAGAAATTTTCTATACACTCGCTTTTTAATCTAGGGCTGACAAGTCTTACTCAAGGAACCCCCTCCGTGACCTTGTACAATATTCATAAATGTGACCTGCATAAAGGACCAAGCTGATTTTTTTTCAGAATGCTAAATTGTAGAACCAGTTTTAGTTTTAGTTTTAGTAAGAGTTTTACAGCACTTGAGGTGTTACAAGAGAGTAACAAACACAAAAAAGGAGGAGAGATAAGGACGATAGGTGTTTGATAGAAAAGAAGAAGCAAACCCCACCAGAGCACCCGCCCACTACCCATGAACCAGTTTTAATAAGTAACAAGCTATCATGATACATAAGCATCCAACCCAACATGGGGGCACTATGCTGCACAGCGCTCTTTAATCATAAAAATTAGTTTCCAGATCGTATCCTCCAGTATGTTAAAAAAGAGGGGTTCTTTTCCTCCAGCATAGGCCCCCAGCAAGGTCCATTGGGGTGTCGGAGGCGAAACCCTGGCAAAAAATTGACATTTAAAGTTAAAGTTTTCTGAGGGTTGAAAACAGCGTTTCTTCATTGCTCCTATTCATTTTGTCATCGCATCACGGGTAAATCCGGCAAATCCGGGAACGATACAATCACCAAGCCATTACTCTAATGTTCCCTCATTTATTATGCACTCGATTGTTGAATGTCAAAACCTAAGAGCACCATTTCCACTTACCGTTTTTATTTTATCATCAGTTTCTTGCACTGCGGCCTTATCCTGCTGCCGTAGACTATTGTGTCAAGCCCCCCCCCGATTCTGAAGCCCCGCAACGCTCTTACTTTGAATGAACTTTGATGATCCCAACAACCGCTGGTACCTTACTCATGCCGTACTCATACTCACGCGATGCCAACGCGCACCGGTTCACTGACCGGTCACAGTGTTCAGCTCGACAATCTAGAAGTGGGAGGATGCTTGTTTCCTCTTCCTTTCTTTTCTTTATTCGTTGTAGTGACGGCAGTGAGAATATAGATTTTATTTGTGTGGTGACACTGTGTTTCTAATGCACAAACTGTATGTCATAACTGTAGACCTAATGTTAACAAGCAATCCTCATACAATTCTGGACGGTACGAAAGCGAACGTGGATTTTTATTTTCCCGATGGAGCCTTGGTACTTGTACTTTTGCCTGGTGCCATAACCGCTTACTCATGTAAAACGTACTCTTGGACCGAGGAAAGCAGAACGTAATATCGCAAACGCGACGGTAGAATATGAACTCGGTGGTCTTTTCAGGTTTGGTTTCGAGGACTTTGTGCGTTTCCCCGGGTCTTTCACGTGGAAATTTACAGATTTCCTCAAATTCCAGGGGCATTCCCGGGTCTCGGCGATTTTTTTCAGATTCTCGGCTTGCAGTTTCTTATACAACATTGCCGAAAGTTACTGTAAATATCTGAGAAGTTACGGAGGCAAGTGCTGATCCTTTGCTCTCTCTCTCTCTAACACATAGAGTTGATAACATAATGCGGCAAGTATGGGCCTTTTAGAATGTACAGATTTCTGCAAAACCAGGGAAGATTGGAAGAACTGCTGTAACAGGGTTTTTTTTCCCTACTTTCGGCACCCATCACAAATTCGGAAGTTTTGACACCTTTATCGGTATGGCAGTAGAACGGGCCCAAAATCAGTAACTACCAGAAAAATTGGCAGATTCAGGCAGGCCTACAACAGTCTCCCCCACTTTAAAAAAAATCTGCTCACCAATCTTTGGTTCCCCGAGTTTGCTCTGAATCCTCTCAAGGATGCACTGAGAGTCTGTGTCTTCACTGGCCGCCGCCTCTGTTACCTCATCTTCCTGAAAAACATCAACAACACCATCAGAGCCGCCAGCATGAAATTAGTCCAATAATAAACTAAAACGGTACCAAACTTCAATAAAAATTCCAACAGATGAAAGGAAAGCATTACGAGATTAGAGATTATAAAAAATTATTAAAACTTCTTATCGCCACTCCGAACTTTCAATGAAAGACAACTCGTACCAGCTTCAATCTTTTTTAGTTTTAGTAAGAGTTTTACGGCCCTTGCAACACAATGAGGTCATATAAGTGCCGAAGATTAGAAATGTTACAAGAGAGTAACAAACACAAAAAAGGAGGAGAGATCAGAATTATAGATGTCTGAAAGGAAAGAAGGAGCTGACCACACCAGAGCACCCTCCAACCACCCACTTCAATCTTGTGCCAGACCACACAAAAAAAAAATTCAGCTGATAAAAAAAGTATTACGAAACTAAACAAAACTTTTTATCCCCACTTTTATCTTTCAATGAAAGATATTTCAGATTAGCTTCAATTTGTTATCTATCTGAACTCTATCTCTGTTTCGCTTTTCCCGTTTCTGGAATTGAAAGTACCCTCTTCCCCGAGCCGCCTCCACATACACACACAAAAAGTGTAAACACTTTAGCACATAAAGAGACAGAATAAACTCATTTCTAAGCACTTAAAGATCAAACAAGAGCAAAGGCAAAGCAGAAGAAGCAAAACAGTATGGTAAAAGTGAAGAAGACAGAAATGAAAAAGAAAGAGAGGGAAGAAAATATTTGTAGAAAAAGAATAAGGGGGGGGGGGAGTAAGTTTTTACAGAAAGACACAGTATCTCCCACACTAAACAAAGCTTCACCTCATCTTCCATTGAGTATGAGTTGAGAACACCTGCCAGCTTTTCATTATCACTGCTTGATTGTGAAACATTGTCTTCAAGTTCCGCTGAAAAGAACACAAACATAAACATGTAGAAATCCTAATCACTTACAATGAATTTCAGAAACTATAAATGCAGAACAAGTGTATAATGGAATACATATATACAAACATCTTTAATTTTACAGATGGTGAAGTCAATATTTGGACAGACATCATCTTGATTCTGAAGTATTCAACAACCTAAAAACACATTAAAATGTGTGAACAAAGTTACATACAAAACTAAGGTGCAATTCCCCCTCAGAGATTTAATACTTGATGTACAAATAATAAATAAATCCCCAGAGAGGGAAGAAAGTACAAGTACTAAGAAGAAATTAACTCCATATGTACAACATTAACTTTAAAGTGGAGCACAAGCAAGACTGGCACAAACTCAAAGTATTCTTTGTTCTTTAAATTATGCCGAGTAAGGGTCCTGTATACTTCTCTTAACTCTGGAAGTGCGCAGGCCCTATATAAAGGGCATGAGCCGGGCTACTCAGAAAGTGCACAATATAGGGCTGACCTACTTCGACCTGGAAGTGCGCAGGCCCTATATAGAGGGCATGAGCCGGGCTACACAGAAAGTGCACAATATAGGGCTGACCTACTTCGACCTGGAAGTGCGCAGGCCCTATATAAAGGGCATGAGCCGGGCTACTCAGAAAGTGCACAATATAGGGCTGACCTACTTCGACCTGGAAGTGCGCAGGCCCTATATAGAGGGCATGAGCCGGGCTACACAGAAAGTGCACAATATAGGGCTGACCTACTTCGACCTGGAAGTGCGCAGGCCCTATATAGAGGGCATGAGCCGGGCTACTCAGAAAGTGCACAATATAGGGCTGACCTACTTCGACCTGGAAGTGCGCAGGCCCTATATAAAGGGCTTGAGCCGGGCTACTCAGAAAGTGCACAATATAGGGCTGACCTACTTCGACCTGGAAGCGCGCTGGCCCTATATAAAGGGCATGAGCCGGGCTACACAGAAAGTGCACAATATAGGGCTGACCTACTTCGACCTGGAAGCGCGCTGGCCCTATATAAAGGGCATAGATGCTGACCCTTTTCAAAGGAAAATGACATAGTAAATTACAAGTCAAAGTTATAATAGTGACGAATGACTTTGCAAGTTATCTTGACCTCGTAGAGCGTCTCTTAGCCAAGATATCGATCAATAAAGTGATGCGATCCATCTGAGTGACTACACGCTATGTAATATCACTTGTTTCGCCGTGCTAATGTACTAATTGTTGAGTTCACCACGTTTGACGCTTTGTTTGTATTTATTAGATCGCTTATCATTTTGAACGGCTCATTTTATCAGCACTAAGAAAAGATATGGTTTTATATGCCTTTTATCATCTGTTGAGCTGTAAATGGTAATTTTTCAGTAGCGGGTATACATCTCTGGTATCTCAGCTGATATCCCCCCCCCTATGTTTACAACTGATCGGCCGTGGTGGCGAGGCATTTTGGGCGGGTTACTTCCAGTGAAATGCTGAGCACTTCTAGGGTTAAAGAGGTCATTGTACACTTATTGCTGATTACTCAGTAATTATCCTTCACTGTACAATTGTGTTACAAAGAAAGACATAAGATGAGAATAAAGAATGGAGAGTTAAGACATATTGAATAAAGGGGAAAGAATGTCAAAATGAGAGATCTTTCATTCTCTTTATCTCATCTCCCTAGAATGAGAAGGCACAACTATGAACGTTTGCCATTGATCATAATATGTGTTCCCTTTTGTACTTTACATTTAATAGCTTGCCTGCAGATTATGTCCATTTCAAAATGGTTTGGATTCATGTTCACAGAATTTATCAGAACGTGGATGTGTAAAAATATTTATCTTGAACTAAAGAGAGTGATAAAACAATCTAATTTTCTCCGACAGCAAAGCTGATAAAAACAAATTGTCTTTCCTGTATTCAATCTTTTCTTTTTCGTGGCTCACCTTGCAGTTCCTGCAAATGTCTCTCCTGCTCATCAATCACTGAGTTGCCTCGGGAGGGCAAGAAAAATGCTTGCTGTGACGATCCTGTGGAGCCTGAGGTGCTGATGTCATGCTTCCTCGGTGTTGACGACAGCAGACCTGATCCTGGGGTAAAGCCCGTCTGTGGGGTTGCATAGTCTGAAGTCGGAGGCCACATCTTGGACCTTTTGCTCTCCCCTTCGTTGGGATGTGCAGTGGAAGCAGCCAATCTAGAGCTTCCTGGGTCTGGCACGTTCAGTTTCAGATTGGATGGTTTCTTTTGCTGAAGACCTGATAAACTGTGATTACTTCCTCCACTCAGCTTGGCACTTGGGCTGGAGGGAGACAGTGGGGCAACCTCCCCTCCATGGCTCTCAGACTGTTGCTTACTTTTGGCTGCAGAGATCTTTCTTACAGCCTCACTGGCCAAGTCTGGGCCCGGTCCAAACATCTCGAAGCTGTTCAATTCCTCCGGCTCCGATGACAACTGAAATTTCAACATGCTGTGTGACGGAAGCTCCTTTCTCTGGCTATTCTGTGCAGCAAGTTCTGGATGGGATGAGGTCTCCACTAATTCTTTATCATGTTCAGATGAGGTATCCAGCTTTGGGATCTCAAATATTGAGAGCTTTGGTAAGGGATCACCTACAACTGGTTCTGGCTCTGGCCTGTAGTACCTTAAGGCTGGCATTCCCTTGGCAACAAAATCAACTGTTGGGTACTTGTCCTCAAAAAATGATCGTATTGAACTTGTGGTGTCAGAGTAAGCAGATGATGGGATCAAGTCATCCAGCTTTGGGAGAAGCCGTTCAAGATCTGGGCACATTAGTTCTTTCAGATTTTGATCATAATGGAAAGCGTTCTTCTCTGCAGTAAGGGCTGGTTCATGGGCAGTAGCTCCAATAATGACAGTTGGTCCTTGCACTGTGGCCCCAACTAATTGCCCCTCGTTCTTCATGGTGGTAGAGTTCACACTCTCATTTGAATGTTGGGCGCTGTTATCCGAGTGTCCAACAATTGTTGATACATCCCCGCTCCTCTCACTTGATCCGCTCTCCTCAGCAGTGAGAACAACAGTTGGTACGGTAGGGAGTACATCTCTCTGTCTTTGGTCAGTGTGTAAGTCAGTCTGACCGTTTTTGGCCTCCACGTCCCTCTGTCTTCTCTCAGGGTCCATTCTTTTGTCCGACTCTTGACATTGGCTTGGTGCAATATTCGTGGAATACAACACATTGCTTTCAGTCGTGTTTGCAAGAGCAGTCGTTACTATGTTTCTCGAAGTCTGAAACAGAAATATGGAGAAAATTCTACTGCTATTAAAGGTAAAAAATTGTACTTAAAAAAATTATAGTTGACATGAAAAGCAAGACTGCAAACATAATGAAAATAAATGAATCTAACAACTATTCTTATGCACCACATAATTCACCTTACCTAGAAGTGTGACTTTCAAATTAATGTTTATGGAAAAAAAGTGATCTTTGTCAACTATATTAAAATGAAAGGAATGAAATACAACTACACCTCCAATAAAAATAAAGATGGAGGAAGGAGGCGGGTTTCTGGGTAGCAAGTTTGTACAGTCATATTATGCACACTGCATCTTACCTTGTCTATATTGTCACGGCCAACACAATTGAAAGTTAGGTGCCACATAATTCTGACACCAATGATTGCATACAATGAAACTAATGATTGTAAAGACTGAAACAACTTCCCTGCAAAAATCCTCAATACTTCTTTCAGAAACGATGAAAATGTGAGAGCTCTGGCAATAGTCCAGACCTTTCTACAGAAGGTGCAATGTGATGATACAGTCAACTGGCCTGGGTCTAGAGAGCCCCAGTGTGCTTGTTTTGAACATTCTACTAAACACAAAGAGTCATATTTCGAAGGCAGAGAATTAAATCTACCAAGAGGGCACTGTGCTGAAAAATAATATTCTGGGAAAGATGTGGGAAAACTCAGAGATACTATTCAGATTTGAACCTCGAAGCATTGCCCATGTTACATTAATACCCCACCCCCCAAAAAACCCCCAAAACAAACCAAAAACCAAAACAAACCCCATCCCCCAAAAAACAGAAAGAAGAGATCTCGCCTGACCATCTCGACTCTCACCTGCTCTGTATCCCCAGCATTTTGCTGTCTCCCCTCGGCCACAGAGTGGCACATGAGTGTGGAGTAATAGTTCTGTGGCGTGCCATCATCTGGGGAAATAAGTTCAGCATCATCTCAAGTACACTTATGGCAATAATGTTAGGAAAGCACTATTCCCAGTGACACTGGGGATAGGCCCAGAAACTATTCTCAGTGTCACTGGGAATAGGCCCAGAAACTATTCCCAGTGACACTGGGAATAGGCCCAGAAACTATTCCCAGTGACAGACCCAGAAACCACGGGCAATTGGGCCTAGGCCAGAATTGTTCCCACTATCACTGGGAATAGGCTCAGAAACTATTTCCAGTGACACTGAGAACAGACAGACCCATTAGATCTATTATTTCCACACTGATCTACATGGGCATGATGGTGATGGGTTACTAAATACTAGACTATATCTAATGTAGATCTAGATCTAGATTCTGGCTAGATACTAGATCTAACTAAAGTAAAGTAGATTCTAGTGCGAGTCGAAGAATTTTTTTTTTAAAGAAAAAGGAATTATCATTCTATGCTTGCTTGTTATTCAGTCGTAATCTATTTATGTACATGTAGATCTACATACGGATTTTGGGGACCACGGTACAGGACAGGTAGAAATCCTTCTGGATTCTTCTTTCTTCTAAGATCTAGTTCTAGATTCTAGATCTATTCTACAGTCAAGTCTTAGCCCTCAGCACAGATATACACTATAGGCACTAAAAGGGGGTAACTCTAGGGCCCTAAGTAAGAGAACAGAACAAAAGGAGCCTACTGAACTGAAGTGAGAAGAGAGTCTACAGAGCAAAGACTTTTGATTTTTTTTATGCAAAAGAGTTCCGTTGTCACTGGGAATAGTTTCTGCACCTATCCCCAGTGTCACTGGGAATAGTCACTTCGATAATGTTAATAGTATTTTCCCCTTATTATAACAAAGAATGGAGACATTTTCTTTCTTTCACATGTGATAGATTTCCAGAAAATATGAAATAGGACAAAGTCTTCTTTTACACATATTTCCGACATGAACTAGGGGCATTAAGACACTTGTCAACATATTGTAGTATGACAAATTTGTTTCTAATGGTTGTTCTTTCCTCTTCCATTTTTATGATATGTCATGACTGAGTTCCTTTTCAAATAATATAAGGCAGGTTAACATAACAGCCACCTTGCAAGGTAAAGATACTTAAAACAGTCTAACATCCAGCTATTCTGTTTCATTTCTGACAGCTGTTGTTTTCAATACTACAGAGCCTTTCTAGAAAGACAACAAAGAGGTCTCCACATAAGTACCGCACACACATTCTTCATACAAGAGCCATGACATGATCTGTGTAACATGATGTATTGCCATCAAACGATCATTATGGTAATTTATGTGATTCAAATAGAAACATATTCTAGTATGGTGGGACAGACAAGGAAGCCGCATGTGACAACTACCTAGCATGCGGAAGGCCGAGTGTGTGAGCAGCTCACTGGCACTGGGCCGGTGCTCTGGATTCTTCACAAACCCTTTCTCAATCAGGTCTCTCACGACAGCTTGAACGTCATCTGGAACATCTTCCATGGGCGGTGGGCGAGCATAAATCTGAAATAGCAACCACAGTGATTTATTTTTTTCTTAGATGACAAAGCCAGTTATAAAAAATAAAATAAACCTATTCTCATGATGCTTATCCATTTCGACGAACAGCCAGAAACCAAACACACCACCATTTGAACATGAGTGGTTGCCTAACAGTAGCAGAATCAACCCCCCCCCCCCAAAAAAAAAAAAAAGAAAAAAAAAAGAGCGATACGTCGTTCCCCCCTGAATCATCTTGAAAATTATTACAAAGCAAAAAAAGAATTAATGGGAATACTAAAAATTAGCTTTACAGTGTAGGCCTACTAAACATACTTTACAATACAACCATCCCAAAAGAAAATCATTCAATTTAAAGAGTGAAAAATGAAAAGACTTTTGCAGTGCTTTATTTTTTTGACAGTGAATCATTCTAAGCGGGCTGTAAGAGGCAACAATTCTCATCAGCTTTCAAGCTAGGACAGGTCACATATTACAAAAATGCTTTGATTTAGAAGTTTAGTGTTTTCCAGTGCACTTTACATTATTTACAAAGGGTTTGGGGTTGAGACATTAGCATAGCTTCAAACCTGGCTTCTCTGAGCAGGGAGAGTGGAAAAGGAGCATGTGTGTGTCTCATTCTCAAGGACAGACTACAAATAAAAACTAATTACTAGAAAAGCTTTTGCAGTTTTTAAAAAATTGACATTACTATACTAACAAATCTATCTCCGGGGGCTCTCGTGGCCTAGAGGTTAAGGTGTTGGCCTCTCATTCAAAGGTCCCGGGTTTGAATCCGGGTAGCGACCGAAAAATTTTCTTCTCTAAAATCGTCTCCTTTCACCTCCTTTCCTGCTCTCCAGCAATGTTCTGTTGTCTGCTTTAATTTCCATTTTTTGCCCCCACCCCCTAACCTCCTTTGCCCCCTCCTCTGGGCTCCTGACTCTTTCTGCAGCCTTTCTATTGCTACTCCTTGGCTCCTCCTTCCTGCTGTCTTTCTGCCACACCCCTGATCTTCTAGTAGGAAAGATCTACACCTAGCCTTCTCGGACAAGGGCGAAAAATCTCAGAGGGCCCGAGTGCAAGTTGCGCACGTTAAAGATCCCTTGGTGGTCTAAAATCGATAAGAGTAGGCTTCGGCCGCCATCCGGGCAAAATTCAAAATTTCCTACCAACTGAAAATATTAGGTGTGTCCCGCGTGCTCATGTGACCTTATGCACTTGCGAACGCCGTAAAATACTTACCAAAAAAAAACCTATCTCCTTTATCAAAAGGATAATCCACAACACACATCTATCATTAATAAGATCAACACCTGATGAAGGGACATATGACCAAAACACCGTACCCCCTACTCTTCCTTATAAAACAAACAAAAAGAATTTATATTTTAAATGGAGAATTTTATGCCCCCATCGACACAATTTATATCATTTATGGAGATGGGCTTCCGACCATGCCTGACAAGGCCAACTCTGGCTGAGAGGGATACATTCCAACAGAAATACTGATATACTCAGTAAAAATTTTCTCCCCACTCGGGAATCAAACTTGGGTCTTTTGCATGTGACAGTGAAGCACTAAACCGCTACACCACAGATGAAACAAACAATCCCATTGATCAAACTTACAATAAAGTTCAAAATGGCCGCCCTCTGGAATCTCTTGAGCCAGGGTGGTTCCCCACTGAGCATGTGCACCAGCACACACACGGCTGCCCACAGGTCTGAGGGGAACCCGTGGCCTTCCATGGAAGCCTTTTCTGGGCTCCAATGGGTGGGGCTCCCAACTGGAGACTTGTTCTTCAGCTCCTTTGGGTCATGCAGCCTTCGGGACACTCCAAAGTCAGTGACGGCAATGAAGGGAGAGTCTCTCCGCAGCAGAATATTGTCAGCTGAGAGAAAGAGGAAGTTTTGTTTTATTTCACTTAACAAAACTTGTTTAAATTCAAGGCATTCCTTATTCCTTCACAACCAAGATGACTTTTCTTCCCCTCCAACTTTTGAAAATAAGCCAGCCATACTTTTGTAATAATAGAAAAACAAAGACTGAGTGCAAAACTGAACAAGTGTCATCTAAGACAAACAGCCTCATTAGAATGTACCCTTAAAAATGTATATGACGCATTTCTAAATAAAAAAAACAAAAACCCAGAGAATACAGTCCATGCCGGCTTTAAGCACGATCATCGGGAGAAAGCTTAAGCGTGCTTAAAGCCGAAGCGTGCTTAAGTGCGAAGTAGACATAATCCAGAGATTTTCATGTAGAAAATTCCCCGTGCTATTTCCCTTTGTTTGTAAGTAGGCCTATAGCAGTCCCGCAAAAGTGTGCACTGTTATTTAGACACCTGCCATGGTAGTTTTTGTTAGCTTGTTTGTTTTTGTTTTGTGGTCGAATGGGAAATGAAAACTTAATTTAGACGGCCAGTCACGATACAGCACACTAGGCCTACTGTAACACATTGCCTGTACGTACCGCTGCCCGCTGTGCTACTCATACCACCGCCTTCATCCCACCTCGCGCCTGATACACAATCAGGATTAATGGATAGCGAGGGTCAAAGGTGAAATCGCAGCCAGTCTCCCTTTCTCGTCTCCCCGACTCTCTTTGTACTTTTTTTGGTCGTGTGTAGCTTTGCCCTAGGCCAAGGCTAGATCCTATGTCCGCGCGTGCGCGGCTGTGTTCATCTCTCTGCCTTCCTCTCCGCCCGTGTGAGTGTGCGTGTCCATCACTTACGTTCTTTGTTTTTCTCTTGACACACTCCACTGCTGCGGGGTAAACTGTGTTCGAACTTTGATGGGTCATCATGAAAATATTGACTGTCTTGTAAATGAAGCGTGCTTGAAGCCGAAGTTACCGTGCTTAAAGGCGTGTAATTTATATAGCAAAAATTCGGTAAGAGCCGTTTAGCGTGCTTGAGTCCGAAACGTGCTTAAGGCCGGCGTGCTTAAAGCCGGCACGGATTGTACAAAACTTCAAGCGACAATGATGCTGTGCAAGGGACATGGGTTCTGAATGTGTGACAATCCTGAAAAATGTAGGACCATTTGGCATTGCCTTCAAGCTCACCTTTGATGTCCTCATGAAGCATATTCTTGGATTGCAGGTATGCCAGCACCTGGAGCAACTGCTGAAAATACGTGATGGCTGTCCAGTGGCTCAGCCGGCGGCCGAGAAGCTTCTGCTCTCTAATGCATGACTCGAGGCTACCACCTGGGATGAGATCAGTGGTGAATTAGATCACAGCTATCAGTTGGGTAGTAGTTTACAGACTGTTAGCTCTACATTTCACCATAGGATAAAACTAACACAATAAAAAAAAGTAGAAGGAGCAGACCATATCAGAAAGCACACCAAACCCTATTGTTGAATAATATGTTACACTTAACATGAAAGATAACATATGATACGACAAGATAAGATAAAATACAATAAAAGTAGATAATATGACTGAAAAATTTTCATGGATGCTAACAGCACACAGACCTAATGCACTCAAATAACACACACATTCCCGACTGTACTGAACCAATATGGCTAGGCAGAAATTATTCCACTTAATGATAAAAAATATAAACAATTTCAGAAGTAAACAGTTACTAGCTATTATTGGCAAATAAGTTGACGTATAGCCTCCAGGAACACATAGCTATATACTTCAGCACATTGTACGTGTCGGATGTTGTCACATTTGTATGACCCTTACCATCAATAAACTCGGAGAAAATGTAGACTTTAACACCATGTCGGATAGCGCCAAACATTCGAACCACATACGGATGGTGTACCTCTGAAGACAGCCTCAACTCCTCTTCTTCATACCGCAGCAGGTGGACCTGAGTGTGAGAGTCATGTTCTTTTGAGTTACACTAAGGTCAGTGAAACGTTGAGTTACACTGAGGTCATTGACACGTTCAGTTACACTGAGGTCATTGACACGTTCAGTTACACTGAGGTCATTGACACGTTCAGTTACACTAAGGTCATTGACATGTTGAGTTACACTAAGGTCATTGACACGTTGAGTTACACTTAGGTCATTGACACGATAACGGTCATACTGTGTTATGTAACAATAAGACAGACAGAAACAATGGCGGGACATCTTTTGCTGCTTCCAGCAACCTCCAGATGGATCTGAAAGCCTGCTATGAGCAGGAAAACCAAAACCATAATAGCTCCACACCTGCCCTCTTCCCAAAAAGCTGGCTGACAAACGTAATTTAAGGTCACTAACCAGGTTAGGTTATACTCCTTTTCTGGTGACAAACTCATTGAAAAAACACCACTTGAGTCTGTGTTAAAGACTTGTATGTAAACACAATAAACCTAAGACAAACATACAATTGTGAAACAGAAAAGAACTTGGACCCGCTTGGCACGCTCCAATCATGGGTATAAAAAAACTAATTCAGAAAAAAAAAATGATTTGTATATAATACCGTAGGCAAGTAACTTTCTTTCTGACTTGCCCACTGCTCATTGGACATGTAATAAGGAGGAAAAATTATGATTATGAAATTTAGAAAGCAAACTGACAACATTTTCAAGAACCCTGAAAAATGTGAGCCCACATAAGTAAGTAAATGCACCTAGACCACTACAACATACAAAACAGTCATCTAAACTCACCTTCTTACAACAAAATTTAAACTTTGTCTTGAGGTCAATAGCAAGGTGGCATTTTCCTGACATTCCATTTCCTAGATGAGCAACTCGTTCCCATTGTTGGTGTTTCTGGTAGCGAGTGCGCAAGATGTGGAACTTGTCCTGTCATGGGAAGAGAGAGATGAGTCACTTTTACTCTTTATGTCTTATCTTGGGTCAAGAAATGATGTGCACCCAGCTTAATCTGCACCATACTATGAATTCTAAGGAGTCATTGTTTTTTTTTGTCATCAAAAATTTGCTTTAGGTACAGAAAATATGGTTTGAGTTAAAAAAACCTTTTTGTGTAAATGAGAAGTATATCAACTTGATAACAGTTACTTAGTGTTAAGAAAAAGAAAGACAGACAGACAGATAAAAACACAAAAAAATATTGTAAAACATTACATATGTAAATCCACTGAGAAAAAAAGGAAAACTATGACACCCAAATCTCACCAAACACTGAAACTCACTTTGTGTTCTGCCAAGATCACTCCCTCTTCTCGCAGCTGGTAAGGGCAGATGCCGGTCTGCTCACACTCCTCGCGCTTCTTCTCGAAAAACCTGTGTGAGCAAGAGAGTCAAGGTCTACAACCAAGAACACAACAAAACATGACACTGATCCACTGCAAAATTTTTTAAATTTTTGTATAAATATCATACTACATGTGAAAGTTCTGAACAACCTAGCAGCTGAGAAGGTATGGCTCCAACGTCTCGATCAACACAGGAAGATTATTCAGTTCAGTGCCAGACTTCCGACTTTATCATCCATCATTACACGGAGCCGAGATAATAAACACCAATTGGAGGTTTGAACCATGGTCACCTGGACCACAATACATTATGACACTAACAGAGCCACTGCTACTTTCAAGATTGTGGAAAAACAGCAAATATGTTCTAGAGGTGTAATTATGTTCGGTCAGCATGAAAAAATTTTTCATTCATTTCACATAGAACAAGTTACAGTTATAGTAACTGGAAAGTACAAAGAGCTGACCTTACTCGAGCACCCAGTGACTGCCAGCAACATAAACCCCTTGACAAGTTTAAAGAAACATATCTCTCATTTTTCTTAAAATCACATTGTAGTGCCTTACTCATACTATGAATATCCAAAAGATCATGCAAATACAAAAACAATTACTGCACAATCCAGAGAATGAAGCACTGCAAAGATTCAAGAACAGCATCAACAACATAATCAAAACAATTTTACCAGCACTTGGTAAAAGTAATGAACTGAAACAGCTTATTTGTAAGACGTAATGATATACTTACGCAGCGACAATACGGAGTTGTGATAGATGACCAAAGACAACCTCTCCAACCCCTGGGACTCCTTTACGCCGATTCCACAAGGACATGAACTGCTCCTCATCATGCACGCGACCAATAGGCATGCTCTCTATGCGGTTTGTAACACCATATGTCGGCTGAGTCTCATAAGGGTCATCTCCCTATTAAACACAATAATTACATGGGAGAAACATATATACTACTGTTCTCTTTTCAGTGTTACTACTACGACTACTGCTACTCACACTTTTATTAATACATCACAACTCTTGCAACTACCAAAACCCTATCTCCTATAATGCAGTGGAACTGTGAGGTTAAATGACTGAAAGTTACAAAGGAGGAGTTGTATACCAAAATAAGTTTGCAAGAGGTTGCTTTAAAATCTTCATTCAGTAAAGAAGACATCTATACAGTTCCAACTGCCCATCTTGTGGGTCCTTTAAACAGGCTTCAGAACATCCTTTTTCATACATATAGTCCTTCATACAAATGCACTCTAAGAATATATGCACGCTCCTATTACATACAATAAGTATCACCTAGCATTATTCTCTCTGATGTTTTTCCATGCACATATTGTCAGTTTTAGAAAGTATGGCAAAAGTTGAATAATTAGAGATGGTTAATGCTCTGAAGGCCACTTTTGATAAACGTAAGTTATTTCTCATACATTTTCCCTGATAATTTAATCTTTGTGGTGAAAGTTAAGTCATTCAGTAAGTCCTCTGAACTATCAGATTCATCAAATAGGATAATAATCATCTTCATGAAGCTGACTTTTGTACATTTCAAAGTCAGTACGATTGATTTTCATGAACAGATATTTTGCTTTTCACTGCAGATAAAACAAATAGTATTGCTGGAAAGAATAGTCTACATACAGTAGTCTCCGCCTAAGATCCCGGTGCTCAGGAGCAAGGAAATGTGGGATCTTAGGCGAACCGGGATCTTAACCGGCGAACCCAGGGAAGAATCTATGGTGACCCATGCTAAAGCTCACAATCGATAAAATGGTCTCCCTTCACTCTAAAATGAACTGACGTGACCGCTAGGTGGGTTTATGACGTATGGCGAGCAAAGAGTGGTTAACCTTGATAACCTATCACAGTGTATAGTGGGATGAGACATGCCATTTTCACTTATTATCCTATCATGAGTCTCAAATTTTACGCTTATCCAGTTGCCCCTCCCCCTTACCTGTCGAAAATTTATAGCTTTCCATCTCTGACTGAGGCCCCCCCTCCCCCCCCCCCCCAGTCTGTCTCGCAAATTCGGGAGTAGAGACAACTTCTGCAATGGTCAGGGAAGAGTTCACAGTTCAATGTGATCCCACCTGGAGCAAACGTGTAGGCCCTACCCACCCTGCGAGAAATGTAAGTTTAGGGGGAGAGCTCAGGTGTGAGTGCGATGTTCAGGGAAAACAAACGTGTCGGTCAGTTCACACCCCGGTGTGATCCCGTCTGTGGCAAACATTGTATCGCTTCATTGAGTTTTTCCAACATGTATGTGATCACATTCAGTATAGCGGCTGATCTTTGACATGACGGACAGTTTATTGATCTCAACTTTTCAGTCTTGGTTGATCGGCCGTCCCGCCCGCGTTTTTGTTCTGCAAATTATGATCTGAAATGCGGGATCTTAGCCGAATGTAGACCTTCAGAGTGAATCAGAGCGGGATCTTAGGGGTGACTTTTGTATACTAAAAATTCTGTTTTCTTAAAACAGCGAGATCTTAAGCGAACCGGGATCGTAAGCGGTGGGATCTTAGGCGGAGACTACTGCACTAGTTAAACTGAAAATATAAGCTGTATCTTTTCAAAATTAAATATTTGCATTCATTATCTTAACATTAAGTAGGCCTACTACTGAGGAAAAAATACCCAACACTTTTCACAGGAAAGGCAACAAAACAACAAAAATAATTACCTTTGCAAAGCGGCTGTATATAAGTTGAGCAATATCATCTTTGGGCTCTACAATGAAAAAAAAATTTGTTCAATTTTAGCAAAAGTTTGGCAACCTGTTCTGCACAAAAGACCAATGGTTGAGACTGAGAAATGAAAATTGCTAAAAGCCTGACTTAAAATCCTTTGTTTCTTTAAACCCGAGTTATTTTCAAATAGAAAGAAATAAACTGGACATTTTTGTACATTAAAGCTACTTTCATACTATAAATTGATTGACTAAAAAATCAATGAAAACTTTGTAAGTTTTCACAGGGCTATTTCATTGATAAATTCTGAAACAGACAAGCTAAATTAATCTCCAGTAGAGTGTGCACTTGCCAATCTAGAAAGGTCTACATAATTGAAAAGGTTATTAAAAAAATCTAACCAACCAATAAACATGCATATGAAAAGAAACGAGCAAAAAATACTTCTGTCAGTAACGCAATATAAAAGATATGGTTAGGTTCCACTTATTATATCCAACTTTCATCTTATCTTTTATCATTATCAATACTATAGCGCAAATAATATCAAATAACAGAAACAGAAGGTCCTTATTGCGTACCCAATTCTTCTTTCTGGGAAAAGAGATTACTGAAGTCTGTTGGGAGTCCCATGGATAATATTAAAAATACAAAAGAACAGATAGTGGAAATTGCTTATCCTGAGCTTCGAGCCTTTGAGCAACAACCAGTACTAAGTTAACAATGAAAATCATATATGATATAACCCAGAAAGGCAAACGAGTGATGTCCGGGGAGAAAGTAAAATGCTAATTCATTTCGGAACTGGTATCAACCGAAAACAGTCTGAACACAATGGTCGACAATATACAAATACCTCAAAAATTGAACAGTGAAAATTCTAATCGCTTTATTCTTTAAATGTTTTGTTTCGAGTGTACTATAGCACCAAAAGTTTATGATTTTTTGTCTATGACCTACAAATACCTGATGCCTCGCCTGTTTCTTCTGGGATGGGCTGAGGGATGACGGCCGCTCTACGCTGACTCGACTTCCGTGACAGCGGTGTTTTGTGCACCTCTGGCTCTTTCTGTTCCGGCCCAGAACTTAAGGCAGACCCTACAGCTCGACTCAGCGGACCAGTAGCAGGTACCACAGGGCTAGCAGGCATCACCGCCATGGCGCCCATGTGATCTGGTGTCTGACTTAATGATGATGCCCCTGATGGGTGAAAGTCTCTCTGAGAGCCACTGATCACAAGTGCTGAGTGGAGTGCTGGAGAGGACAACCGAAACAAAATTGTTAGAAGGGTCACTGAAGCTAACAAAATTGTTTACACTTATATGGGCCAGATTTAAAAAATTTTATTTTCGTCCAATGCCTGTTGCTAGCTACACTGAAAAATAACATTAAATTATATGATATTAGTTACATCCCATTCACCGAATGAATAGTAAGAAGTTAAGAGTAACATAAAAATAAAGGTTACATACATGTATTTTACATAAATTATATTACTTGTGAGTAGCTATCAACAACACCTTTTTTTCCTCATACTTTTCTCCAGGTCCACACTTCATTTTCAAACTGTGAAAGAATTTTAACGACAAGAGATACATTCTGAATCCTGTGCATACAATAAGTGTTGAGTCATCATCAACAAACCGTACCTGCTGAGGTGAAGCTATAGCTAGGTAGATGTTCCAGTTCGCCAGGTTCCTCAGCGGGAGAAGTGACAAGGTTTCCACCCAGGGACAGTGAGGTGTTGCTGGAGGTTGGAGGACCTGTGCTGGACCCATCTTCCCGGTGATCCAGCTCACTCATCCCTGTGGCGCCCACTGCTGGCTCAGCCGGTGAACTACCCAGAACTTTGGCACAATACTTTTTCACCTGTAATGGACAAGAAAGTCAAGATGCTAAAATAGACAATTGTGCAAAAAAAGAATAGTGAAAGGAAAATTTTTTAAACTTTAAATAGTAAAAAATGCAAATTGTGGAGTAAAAACAGTGCACTCTTCATAAACCCTGTACATCTCAACATTTTGTGGAAGGGAAAGATCCTCAACCTTTCTTACACACCTACAGATCCTTTCAACTTTTGACTTAAGTATTTGAAAGTGAAAAGAACATTTATAAAAAATATATTATGCTCTTTATACGAATGAGTTGTCACAGCATGCTAGTTTGACACTACTATACCTTGACTCTGAGTCGATCTGCATTGCTGTGTAACTTCTCCCACTTCCAGTCTGAACTCTTGCAGATCTTGTAGCAGAGATCAGAACTGGATATGCGTGACTTCTTCCTGTTGGCCTGGATGCAGAGTTGAGCATGCCACATGATGAGGTGAAAAGCTTGGGAACACTGGTTGCACTGCCCAGCGCGACACGAGCATTCTGTATCTGCCATGTGCGTGAGCAGACCAGACAGGACGATGCAAAGACAGCAGCCCATGCCCCCTGAGCCTGCATCCAACTCTCTGGGAGACAGGTTTGACAGCTGGTGGAGGTTCTCACTCAGACAGACGTTAAATTGATCACCAACCTCTGGCGCTACATTCACCGGTGGGCCTGAAGTCTGAAGGAGAAATATGTTTTGTTTGTTTGAGACAAAAAGACGATCATCAATACAATTATGGTTATAAAATGTCTGACTTTTTGTATGTAAGACAGCAATGCTCTTCTAAATAAACATAAGATATTTTGAAGAAGTAGTTATTTGCCTATTTGAGAGAACAAAGAAGAGGGAAGAAGGAAGGAAGGAAAAATTAGACAATACACAACAATGACTAAAAAAGGTGTATGTCTGACTAAGATGGTGCACACAACAACTTCCTAGAAAGAATTTTTATAAACTATGAAAAACAACAACATTGGCAATAATAATATTATGTTCTCTTGAATGTATCTTACAGCACCAGAGACCTTTACCAGTACAGTCTCACAGCAGTGTTCATTAAACTGATTCAGAATTTGCCAGCTCTTAAATACTGCTTCCAACAGCTGAAGCTGAAAAGTAAGGAAAATTCTACGGGGGCTCTGGGGGTGAAACCCCCGAAGAAATTGAAATTTAGTGCTTTTAGAGCACAGCGGATAAAATACCGTCCAGACCGCTCACTTAGTTTTCCTTCCCCAGTTCCTCCCCGACCATCCTCACCACCCTGCCCGCCCCGCCCGACAGCCCAGCGCGTAGTCATAAATCACTTGTCAGAGGGGTTAATTGGGGTGACCGCAGCGTCACTCCTCCTGTGCCGGGGCAGTAGTAAATATGGCGTTTTAGTGCGAATTGAAAGTCTCCTAACTCTGAAACTATAAATGCTACAAGGCCGATTGAGATTTCATTGTAACATGCTATGTTTGACCTGTAGGCCGGTATAACTTGTTTTCTTGTAAGTCCGATTATATCAGTTTTACAAGGGATTTAAGTAAGTCTGTGATTTTCAAACTGGCATCTTCAATGTTTAGAACTTTTTCAGTTTGGATTTAGATATATCAATCCGGCCCCCAACGATTTAAACAGAAATTCATGTATCAACTGTGGGGACAATTTTCATTTACATGTGCAAGTTTCAAATGCACGAAGTTATTCTATGATTTTCTGTGATTTTTTAAAAATACCAACCCACCACTCTGAACATTCATCCTTGCTGTTTTTAGTTTTCTTGCCTCTACTACATCTGAATTTCGTTGTCAATTTTAACAATATTTTTGTCATGGAGAGCCACACTCAACATGATCATATGGTGGGCATTGTGCTCAAACATCATCGCCTTCTTGAGGAGGCTGCACATGATATAGATGTATAGCTGGCCCATCAATCTATGGAGAATTGCACGCCTGGAATAGGACAAAATGTGCATATCTACGGCAAAAAATGAAGGGAGTGCTTATTTAGGCCACATATGGCCTAAATAAGGTAAGGGAGGGGGGTTTAGCTTATTTAGGCCACACATGCTCAAACTACCCTTTTCAGGCAACTGAGTTCATTCCACTTTCATAATGGTGCACCTTTCTCATTTAGTATGGTTTTGCCTCAGTGTACAACTTATAAATCATAACCATAATGAATATTGTAAAGAACAAAGCACAATACGCAAAATTTTGCTCAATTCCAATGGTTTGAATGAGGGCCGGATTTTTCCTTCATGGAGGGGCAAAAGCTAGGCTACCATTTTGGCACATTTTGGTCAAGTGAAAAGGTCAAATCCTCCGAATGGACTTCCGGGTTAAATTTGGGGTTTAAAAAGTGTGTATACTACGTGGCTGAGTCAAAGTTACACTATCTTTGCCTGAGTGACACTCTCTCGTACTGTCTCGTAGTAGTACATGTAGGCTAGTAGGCCTAGTAGTAGTAGTAGCAAAGATCGTGTAGAGAATGTTTGGTAGTAGATTCTATCTAGTAGGCAGTTTAGTGAACGTGCTCGCGGCAGGGCGAATCGGCCTCGATAAGCCCCGTAGACTTTTGTGATCGGCCACGAAGCCTTGTGTTTTGATGGGTCTAGATCTAGATCTAGATCTAAACAACTCAGTGCTATTCGCACTGCCACATCCGACAGGCCTAGATCTACATCTTTTTAAAAGGAAAAGAAAGATCATCAAAATGGTTGAATTCGCGTGAAAATCGATTAGGTAGAACTAGAACTATTAAAACTTGCTTCTGAAAACAAGGCAATTTTTATACGAAGGCCATTTTTATAACTCGATGAAATAAAAACTACTGACTGTGTACTGTGTTATTCTGTATAAAAATAAATTATGAAACTTCAGGACGTAGATCTATTATTATTTACCAGCATCTTTTGACGCCTGAGCTGTAGAGGTTGAAGTTTTCACAACACTAATAGATCTAGTAATAGGGTTAGGTAATACGGCTTTCCGTAAAAAATGCATAGATCTACAAAAGCCGACCACCGAATCGACCGGGTGCCTCGGTCTCCCCTGCACTCTGATTCAATATTTAAAAAAAAATGCTAATCAATGAAAATTGCAAATTGATAATAATAGTATAGTCCTGTAGAGGATAGGTGGACTCCGGGGTCTGCATAGCGAAATACTAGGTTTTAGGATGTGGACCCCGGAGTCACCGTAGTGAAATAAGGTTTGGTTTAAGTAAGGATTGGTACTAGGTTTTAGGACAGGTGGACCCTGGGGTCACCGCAGTGAAATAAGTAGGTTTCTTTAAAGATTGGTGGAACCCGGAGTCACCATAGCCATAGAGGATTAAGAAGGTTTAATTAAGGATTGGTGGACCCCCGGGACACCTTGATTAAACCTACTTATTTTACTACGGTGACCGCAGGATCCACCTATTCTATAACCTAACTAGTGTTTCGTTAGGTAGACCCTGGGGTCCACCTTAAACCTACCTATTTCACTACGTTGACTCCAGGGTCCACCAATCCTTAAAATTAAACCTAGATCTATCTACATGTACTTATTTCACTACATTGACCCCAGGGTCCACCAATCCTTAATTAAACCTAGATCTACTGATTTCACTACATTGACCCTGTGTTCCTCCAATCCTTAATTAAACCTATATATCTACTTATAATTTCACTACTTTGACCACGGGCTCCGCCAGTCCTATTATAAAATAAACTTAGATCTACTTATTTCATTATGTTGACCCCGGGGTCCACCGATCCTTAGTTAAACCTAGATCTACTTATTTCACTACGCTGACTCCGGGGTTCACATCCTAAAACCTAACATTTTGTTAGGTAGACCCTGGGGTCCACCTATCCTTTTGGCTAGATAGACCCCGTAGTCCGCCTATCCACTTTCTTGATAATAACTGTAAACAATACATGCCAGTTGTCATTTATAGTGAAGAAAAATGAGGGGAAAAAAATATAATTAGGTAGACTTTAATTTGTCCAAAAAATTGCAAGTGCAAAATAATTTTGTTATTTTCTGGTCACCTTTCCAAGGACCTTAAATTGATTCTACATCACATGTCATGTACGATACGGCTGTGAAGGAAAATGGATGTGAAAAGTTTTAAAGAAATAATAATGTAACTTCTAAAGAAAACAATGCTTTACATTGGTTTGGTTATTTTGACTACATATGTGGCCTAAATAAGGTAAGGGAGGGGGGTTTAGCTTATTCAGGCCACATGTGTGGCCTAAATAAGGTAAGGGAGGGGGGTTTAGCTTATTTAGGCCACCTGTGGCCCAAATAAGGTAAGGGAGGGGGGTTTAGCTTATTTAGGCCATATGTGGCCTAAATAAGGTCACCCAAAAATGAAAGAGGGCTGGAAAAAAACGAGGACATTCAATTGTTACAGGGCTGTCAGATTTTGTCGGATAATCCACGAGAAGCAGAGAGATTTGAGAGGAAGGGTTCTAGTGTACATGATCAGCTGTCAGAGTTAGAGTTTGGGGAGCTTATTCCAAGGTCAAGTCCTGCCTGCTCTGAATTTGATAACATCCTCAAACAACACAACCTCACACCACAGGCCTACCACAGCCGTTCATTTATAGGAAGCCACTGCCAAAAATACATCACAGCCCATGTGTACAGACAGCTAGCATCATTTTTAGCAAAAGGAACAGTTGCATGTACACGAAATCAAAGCATAATAGACACCGCATTAATTGTTCTGAGAGAGAAATTTGTTCACGTAAAAGACACCTTCAAAGATATCCACACAGTAATTGCACATGGAAAGCCAATCACTTTAGAGAGAATACCACATATTCAGTCATGCATCACACGATATATGTCTTTATACAGAAACATATTTGGCAAATAAAAGGTCTTGAGTCGATAGTGCCGTAAAACACGTGCTACTCAATCAAAATCGATCAAAAGAAAAGGTCATCCCCAAACAACACATCCTTGAGAAACACTGCGTTCCTTGGATACAAAAATGTGGGTTTGGAATGGCCTTCCATTGTGAGCAAGGGGGTGATCTCATTCATGCAACCGTGGCCTAACAGACAAAGAAAAACATGTCAAAACAATCATGCAGTCACAACACGTCCAACCCACCCTGAGCTACTCTGTCGTGTGCACCACCCATCAAAAGACGAAAGCTTACAGCGGAAAAATTAGATAATTCCTCCAGTCCAGCAATATTGTGTTCTTTTTGTATTTTGTGTTTAGGTTGTGTTTTCATAAGTGTATCGGCAAGAAAAGATCTGTTCTGTAGTTACATGTATCGTGGATATCGCTATGAAAAAACAAGGTCGCAAAGCAAGAGTATTGCAAAAATCAACTTCAAACCTGAATAATTACGGATCCAGAAACTTCGTGCATATGCCCCTTTGTCAGTACAAATTTCATTATGTTCTCAGTCCTGTGTGCAAATTTGATTGAATTCGTTGGGGGCAATCATATTTAAATCGATGTTTATAATTGATTACCCATGACACATTTATCAAATTAAGTCCCCTTTTTGAGAACTTCACAGCTTTTAAGTGTAATGTACCATGTTCTTCCGATTTCTTCATTTTCTTCCTTAATATGTTGAATATTTACGTGGTCTTTATTAAAATATTCATCTTACATTAGCTTTGGCTCACTGTGCTGGTAAACTTTGCAAAAAATACAAGAGCGCTGCCGGTGTTCGGCTGATTAGGGAAATCCCCGGCGGCGCAGGTAAATGACCCCGTGACCTGGGGAAGCGCGGGCTTGCTTGCCTCGCGCCAGCCAAAACTAAATGGGCGCTCTATAACCGCTGTGAGAGGGTTGAAATTGGCATTTTGGAGCCTGTTTGAAGAGATTGCCAACAACTCATCACCTACTTTATCACCAAAAATTTGTCTTGTTTGATTTCTACAACTACAAATCTTTCCATTGCTGGCAATGTATAAAAGCAGGTTCCCCTTGCCATTGCGAAGTCACTATAAGTCATAACTTAATTAATTTGTCATCCCACCATTGCCAGAAGGCAAATCTGGGAATAATGAATAGATATGTACCTTGACGATGGAGTAAAGAGTTACCCAGTGTATACTGTAATTTTCCATTTTCACGTTTGAATCACAACCCACGAACACCACTTCGAATCATTCTTGATATGAGTAGTTTTAGCATAAATTTCTTTCATCATGGCCCTTCCCATGCTCCGGTAAAATCATCGCACTGACAATTTCTCTAGATCTAGACAAATTCGCCAAAAAAGTTGCTTTCTGACAGTGATTTTCTGTCTAAAATCACAAGTCAGTTTACTTGATCAACGCGCAGATTTTCCAGCTGCGGCAACAATCCGAAGATAGACAGAAAAAACGAGTGAAAGAAAGAAAGGAGGAAATTGGCACACAAAGTTTGTTAGAATGGCTAGCCAGATGTTGATCAATTTGCGGCTAAAAATGTATTGCCGACCAACCTGCAATAAATGCAAAGCAGGATAATGGGTGATTGCATGAAATGTGAAATCTGGCAAGTTCCCACAATAACTTATTGCCGAGAGAATTACTGTGTATATCCGCAACCAAGACATAGGCCTATAGAAGACAAAACGAGGGCAAGTATGGATCCTCTGCCACGGAATTTCCGTAGCCCTGTGCTATTGCACTTTTTTACGGGTGATAATGATTGGGGAGCAAGTACAAAACTGTCAGAAAGTATTGATTTCCGTAAAAATACAGAAGATTGGAAGCACTGCTTATAATTAGAACTACATATGGCATTTTCAGTAGAATCTGCAGTCAGTGTCAACCATATTTCTCCATTACAAACTGTTCTCAGTTCAAATTTTACAATATTTTTAAAAGGTGCCATATCTCCTTTCAAAGGTTATGTCTAGTTGTAAGAACTGATCCTACACTGAGAATTACACATTAAAATCTAAATTAGTTTCATTACTGCACCTGCAAGATTAGTTTCACCTTTAATTAGAAGCTTTTAGCAAGGATGAAAATGTCAAATGACAACATAAGGAAACGTACCGCCATTCCAATGACATCACAGATATGGTCAATGGACATCGCAGTGTGCTCCACTGAATGCTCTTCCTCACCCTCTTCAGTTAAAAGACCTGGTGGCCTATCTGCTGCTTCCTGCTCACCAGGGGACGGGCTTTGAGCCATGGCTTCCCTAATCTCATGGGCAGCTCTTGACCTCTCATCACCACCAGAAGGCTGGCCCCTCAACGCAGGGTCTGGAACATTATCCAGTCTGGGAACATTTCTCCCCTCTGGATCCTTTTTGCCCTTGCTCTTATCATCTTCCTCATCATCTCCACCATTATCATCATCGTCTCCATCATCTGGGTTGCCCTGATCCCTTTCGCCATTTCCACTGCCACCATCTTTATTGGGTCCATCTCCATCTCTCCCATTAGTATTGTGACCACCACTGTCTCTGCTGTTACTGTCTCCTCCCCAATCCTTATTTCCATTGCCATGCCCTCGTCCGTTTTGGCCACCAGAAATGTCCTTCTCCTCCTGATCAAATAGAAGTGAAACAATTGCTGTGATGCAAGGAACTCATTAAAATACAACACTAATTATTGTAAAGCTTACAAAATGAGCAGGACATTACAAAAGCTCTAACTGAATCTAAATCATAATCTGGAACATCAATTCCTCCTGTCTCTCAAATCAGGAGAGTTCCTCTAAAGTCAAAAGAGAGTATTTCCTAGCAGATACTAGACAGTAAAATAGCGCACGACTGTGGTGAAAGCACTGCACATTTTGAATGCATTGAATCAGCAGAGTTAAAAATATAATCTTGCTATTAACTGAAAGAAAGTTCAAGTTGCCGAAAAATATGTCCTGAAAACAACCACCAATGGCAACTTCCAAAGTTCTATGTCAAGATTAGCATGTTATACACTTGAAAGGAGGAATGGAAGAGGGCTTACATAAAATACATTTTTTTAAAGTCACAAAATTTGAATGGCTAGAATAAAAAACTCTTAAGACTTCATTTGATTAAAAGATGAATAGTGCGTTGTTTACACCTACTTAAAACAATAACAGAAACCCTTTCTTCTGTAAATACAGAAGGAAGAAAAAGAAGCAGATAGCACTAGAAGGCCCATCAACTAATGGCAGAAAATACAAAAGTCAAGAATGAAAAAACGCAAATGCTCATTCATGGCATTGATTTTCAGATTGTTTTTTCTGATGATTTTTTCCTATTCTTTTGACACAGTTTAGCTTGTGATCTATGAGTTGTGTAGCATCAAATGAAAAGATCTTTTCAAGCACTTTCATTTTAGAGTTTTAAATTACTTTAATTTTCATTACATAAACTTGTTATTTACCAGCAATGCAGTTTTATTGTCTGAAAGTGATATGTGTTTGTTCTCCAATTAACGTCATCTTTTTCTGCTCCCACAATTTTGGGTGTGGCATTTCCCTCACTTCCTCCCTAAAAGATACCATCTCTTTTTCAAACCACTAAAAGAAATGACATTAGTCATATGGAATAAGAACCAAACTAACTAGGGAACAAGATATCCAGAATTAAAAGAAATTATACTTATGAGCCCAAACGCTCAGAATACAATGAGAAATGAAGATATTTCATCCAAGAAACTACAATACAATGAGAATTAGACATTTTACCCGAGAACCTGATCCATGTCCGGATGTCCCACCATCCATACATCCCTCGTGATGGTCATTTGCACCGCCTCTCACTCTTACAAGCCGTAAAAATATTACAGGTTCCTTCAGTTCTTTTGGGCAGTCACCTGAAAAAAATTCATGAGTATTAACATCATCTGCTCTTGTTCGCTTTTCAAAATGATAATAACAAAGATATTAAAAAGACATTATATTTATATAGTACCTACTCCAAATCTCAAGTGCCTGAGAGGCTTATAATACAAAGTATGTGGCAGGCACTCTGAACTAATATCTGTACAGAAAAAGGCACAGGAAAACCTGTAAAAACATGAAACAAATAGCATAGCACTCAGCCTAGCCTAAGGGCACAATGTGTTAACAATAACAGCCAGTTCAGTTCAACAAACGCTTTTGTTGCAAGACAGACACTATATTATAATGTGCATGTCCAACGATACAGCCACATTTAAATACTAGTTTAAGTTAAATAACATGCTAATAGCACAAATGGGAAGGAGAAAAAAGAATTAGACCTAACCCTTACTGTAAGCTTAATATCACAAACAGCTAGTCATCACAAGGACATATTTACTACAACCCCATTGTTTTACTCCTTGCCCTTTCACCACTTCAGTGTGAATATGTATTATTCCCTCTCTTCCCAAAATCCATGAGCCTCTATTCAAACGACTAAGAATGGGGAAATCTGATGAAAGATCTGTTTCCATCCCAACACATGGGCACATGAACTTGTTTATAAATGGTTGTTTACATCTTACACACACAAACAAAAACACTCTTACCGTGAGAACAATCCAGCCACTTTAAATTTCTGTCCATCAATCCACCCTTTCGGTTCCTTCTTTTCCGTTTGCCGAATGCCAGCTGGTTGGCATCTGACTGGCGTTTTCGTCCCTTGTCTTTAAAATGCCTCCTGCGACTTTTGACCTTCTGTTTTCTTTGTCGATTCAAATGCCTACTTGTAACATGGTGCAAATTTTGCTTTATGTTTCTTGATTTCCTAGTTCTTTCACTTGGGGTTTTATCTTTCTTTTCATCCTGTCCGTTTCTATGTCCAGCGTATCTATGCTCTTCATACCCTGGAGAGACAGCTGAATCATGGGGATCAGAACTCAAACTGTCCTTCAAATCTCCAGTGTATTTCACTTTTCTAATGATAGAGCAATCATCAAATTCTCTCTCATCCTGCTCACTCTGCAGAAGTGAGAAAGTCTTGTTGATAAACTTAGAAATTTTAGCTCTGTCGACATAGTTGAGGGACGACAAGCAAACATCTGGGCAATCAAGAAGGGTATCCTCAGGCCCTTTACTTATGTTTATTTTCTTGAAGCAAGGATGGACTTGACTACTCTTACTTGAGAGACTGGTTAAAAACTGCACATGATTATTTGAGATAAAAGATTCACCAGTAGCAGAGAACTGGATGTTTACCTGAAATGTTGTGCAATGTTCCAAACTGAGGGAGAGACCATTCCTTAACAAAGACCAGTTTGCTTCACTAATTACAGACTCCATCGAAGAGAAGTCCTCAAAACTTAGAAAGCCATCAGAAATGAAAAATCTGTCTTCCTGGGGTTGGATAGTTTCAGCAGATGGCATCTGTCTGTCAGTGAAAGCCTCAAACTCATGGGCAGTATCATCTGAGTTGCTCTCACTGATAGAACTTTTCGATTTTGCCATATCTTCAACAATGTTGGCAGATAAACTAATGGAAATGACTTGACTCTTCTCACCTTTCTCAGTCTCCAAGCTATCTCTGTATAGCTTTTCTTCTTTGTCAAATTCATCCATTTCTACTACATACTCTGTATCTCTCTCGCTTGCCAGGACAACTTTTTCCTTGTCATTCCAACAGCATTTTTCTTCAATCTCATCCCAACTTGCAACCTTCATAAATCTTTTTCCTGGATCTTCCGTCTCCAGTGTGTCTTTGGTATATTTATCAGTAATGTAGTCACCGCTGTGCTCCTTTTGCTCCTGCAACTGCCTCTCCTCATCCAAACTGCAGACGACCTGCTTGACATGTGTTGTCTCATCTGCATCCCCATCACATGACTTTATTAACCCCAAAACTTTATTGCTGTCCACTATGGCTGGGGGAGCAAATATCCCATTTCTGTCCAAAATGTTTGTAAGTTGCAAATCTTCTTTACTCCTCACGGCAGATGGGTATATAAGAATCCCATTCTCTTTCAAAGATGTTGAAGAGTCAGAACCCTTCAAGTTTTCTATGCTTAGAGGTTCCAGATCTGAGCTGCAGCTCGAAGTTAGATGTTTCAAAACTCTATAGCTACTCATATAGCTTTCAGGAGGTCCACTCTCATTCTTATTTATGTTCAGGGAATCAGAAACTTTGTGTTTGTCCCAGCTCAGAGGCTCAGAAAGTGTACAGCTATCCCTGCGGTTTGAAGGGTAAATGCCATCTACAATGTCAGGCATAGACAGGCATGTTGAATCCTCATCCACACTAGACCCATTCAGGAACAACTTATTTCTTTCTGAAATATCCTTGCGACTCACAGAGGTTTCCCTGAAAAACAAAAAAACAAACCAGCAACATGTTTACATACATTAACCAAAAGAATGAAAACCGTATGTTGTTTCAAAGTACATTTGAATCTGCTTTAACAGCCACTGATTCAAGATCTGTACAAACCATTATTTGCTACATCCCCCTTGAGTTTTTTCTACATTATGATAACACTGTCGAAAATGTCCACCTGTCTATGACAATCACTTACTTCCTCGACAATCGGTGGCTATATGGACAATTTTGACTGCAAGAACTTAGTGGGACCAGAGAATTACTTTGTGCTTAAGCAAATTTTGTGTAAAGTAGAGTGCTAATGAAAAGAGCAAAAAAAAAAAAAAGGGGGGGCGGCAACACCATTTTTACTGATCAGATCACATGCTTGGCCTTGTACCAATTTCTTAGTCATTACATGCACAGCGATGCCGATCTGTGTAAACTGAAAAAAGGGGAAACCTTATTTCCAACCTGATATGGACCTTTGACAGCACAGATTGAGGTACAAGGGAGGATAAAGCTGTTCGGTTCTTGTTTTTTCCATGTTACTACTCAGTTTCAGAGCAAAAGCAAATAACAAAACGCGGAACTGATAAAGCATAGCTGTACAATTTAAAGTTAAATTTAAAGTTAAAGGAAAAACAACAACAGATAAAGGTATCTTAGCTTATTGATCATGCATTCTGTAATTTGTATTAACAATGGTAGTCTACTGTGAAGGGAAAAAAAAAAAAAGAAAACGGGGGAAGAGTCAGCTGGAGGGTAGATGAAACGGCCCAAAATTCCTTCATGTTAACTAGAACTGAAGGAATATTTTTACTATGTCAAGGTCAGTTGCAATGCATAGAAAATAGAGGGAAAAAACATATCTGGAATCTTTTTGTGGTATCAGTGTCTTTAACCAAATGATTTTAACTCAACTGCCGGGCAGGCCCTCCCCACCCTAATCCTGTGTTTTCACTAATAGTCATTCATGAGGAGCATGGCACTCAGGGTACAGTTAGGTTAAATAACAAAAATTGTAAAGTGTTAAAATAGACAAACAGGCTATCAAGTCTAACTATGAAAAAGCCAGTAAGGAACAAGTGGATAAAAAAACACTCATCACTGTCTTATATGATAAAGACCAAATTTGTCCACTTCCGTGGCAATAGAAAACTAAAGGAATAACTATCACAACATACCAGATGTCTCCATTCCTTTTGTCTTTCAGATGCTTTTCCAGAGCATCAAGCTGGTTGCTCAGCAACTGACTCTTGTCTTTCTCTTTATTCTTCATAATGCTTCTAAAGCTCCACCTTTGAACATTGACGCTCAATTCCACTAGGGTGGAAAGTCACTCCTGGACTTTATGACCTGATGATGAACAAAGAAATGTTTGAAGAGTTTTAACATGATAATGATTCCTTAATGGGCAGACAGACACAAAATGAGACTTAGAAAAGAGGTTGGACCTACAGGAGGGGCCCTCTAGCCATCTGTAGTATAGAAAAAGATTAAATAAAAAAGATTTAAGAAGTAATACAAGCATATTAGATATCAGCCTACAAAAGTGTACATCATTTTCGAGGAGAGGCAATTTACTCTTTTTTTTTCCTTGGTGGTGAAGTTAGGGCGATAAAGAACCTTCAAACTGGCACAAAAAGTCATATTTTCTTGCGCATAGCATAATCCATTTTTTCATGTACAGTCAAACCTCCCCTTGTACCACCAGCCTAACATGCCAGGTTTTGTTAATGTACGAAAAGAATCCCCTAAATATAAACATAGTATTTACGCCTTTTACACCGTCATCCGCCAACTGTCTCAGTTGTATGGTCCTTATTAAACTACTGTAAATTTACCACCGTTGTACCGCCAGCGAACTGGCCGCTAGAACTGCACACACAGTACACACAAGGCTACATACGGCCAACGGCACATCCACTCACTGGTTGCTTAACAATATTCACACTTAAGTCCATAGGATACAATGTGTAATGTAGAAGTGAACAATTAAAATTAAAAATAAGCATAACTTTGTAGCGACAGGCAAATTTCTTCGGACACACAATGCAGAAAGAAGCATTGGACAAAATTGTAACAACAGGCAAGTTTGATGGAAAGAGAGGCAGACGCAGACAGAGGGAAAAGATACTGGACAAGGTAACAACATGGCTAGGAGCAGCAAGAACAACAGACACCATTGCTGCAACACTGGGCAGAGTGAAGTGGAGGTCCATGATCCCCCACGCCAGTCGGCAAGGCACCGGATGAAGATGACGATAACTTTGTAATTCAGCATCAAACTTCGCTCCGCGCATGATGCGGTGATTATGAAAATGCCAATATTTTTAGATCTAGGCCTTGGTCAATATCTATTTTTTAAAAAATTGGAATAAAATTTCAAATCGCCGGATATCAGAGGCGAATACCCGTTGGGCTTTTATTTTGCAATGACTCTCATTCAAATCTAAGTGACAGATCGAAAGGAGATAACGCATTACTTCATAGAGTGATTGGTGGTAAACAAGTTCCTTTGATGCTGTGTAGATGTGACTGCATGTATAAAAACAGAAGATAGGCCTATGTTCTCAAATGTTTAAAGTCTCAAGTGATTTTTGAGGACGATTACATTTACCTCTGATGGAAGACACACTTTCTCTTTTTTATAGGTGGGAAAATATTCCAAGATTCCCTACAAATAAGCCATTATAAAAAAAAAACATTTCAGAGAGTTGAAAAAGTATACTATTTCTAAAAAAAAAACCTTTCTGATTGAACCAGTCACAGCAGATGGCAACATCGATTTTTGACGGACACAGGTGTGCTCATTAAAGTTCTAAGTACAGTTTGTTGCTGGTACAACCTATTTCATGAAAATGAAACTATGACTCAAGTGTAAAAAATTCTCAAGTCAGCATATCCACTACCACAATATTATTGTCACCATAAACAGTACAGCATAAAACAACAGTAAATGAAACAGTACAGCATAAAACAACAATAAATGAAACAATACAGCATAAAACAACAACAAATGTTAATAGGCTTGCACTATGGCATGCTATGCTATGGCAAACAAAATTCGTCTGAAGAAATTCCCAGTCAAAAACACAGACACCTGTACAGCACTTGAAAAACACTGAATCTGTACAGCACTTGATCTATCGATCAAATTATAAAAAGTTGTAGACGACTCAAAGATGACAAAAATACCAAATTGTATTATATTTTCTCAAACCGATATCGGAATGAGGTATCAAATCAGATTATTTCATGGTGGGAATTCCCGATCTGACATTTACAGTGGCCCCAACTGCACCCGTTACTTCTTTGGTCTTTGGCGGAAGAGAATTGAGGCAAAGATCGTGTATGTATTAGAGAACCTTTGATTGAGGGGGGCACTCAATGCACCAGCACTTGTGCACTCCAAGACCTGGCGACAGTACAAAAACAGCACGTACGCCCATAATATATATAAATAATATATATATCACGCCTCCCCGTGTTTACAAGTGATTTCATCACTTGTGTCTGAAAGAAATAGTTTATTAAAAGCAGATTTTTCCCCTCTTCATTTTAAAGGAACAAATTTTTAAAAAATTAAAAAAAAGGGGGGGGGGGGGTAGAGAGAGGCCGAAGAAATTTTTCGTAGCAAAGGTAGTCGCATTGTACTGGAGCTTTGTAAGAAAGAGAAAAACCATGGATTAAGCGGAAACACGAATTTCGACGCATTCAATAAGTGGAAACCGTCTTCGCACATGACGTCATGGCAACTCAAATGTGGAAACTGAACGTGCGTAATGGGACAAGTACGTTGAGAGAGAGAGAGAGAGAGAGAGAGAGAGAGAGAGAGAGAGAGAGAGAGAGAGAGAGAGAGAGAGA